CCCTGTGTGAATCTGTATTGCCCATCTTTAGGCATGATCCTGTGGTGTGCAGAAGCTCAAGACTCTTTCCTTTCTAGTGCCTGATTCTCCTTTGCTATGGAGCCCCAGTTGCTGTTGGTGGGCTATGGGCAGGGCCGCCTTTCTGACTGCTGGCCTATCTCAGTCCACCATGGATTGCAGTTCATGTCAACCAGCCCTTTGTGAGCAAGAGCAATAGTGTTTCTGCTGGGGTCATTGTGGGTGGGGCTGCCCTCTGCCTGCCCTGCAGTGATGGCAGCAGCTGCTGGGCTAACAGGGTGGACAGGGTGGCTACACAGCTCTGGGGCAGTGTTCTGCAGCAGGTTGTATGACACCACAGGATCATGCCTTCATCATAAAGCCATTACTTTCTAGATCAGGAAGCATAGAGGATCCATCTAATGTAAAGGAAGAAACACGGAAACCCTGACAAAATGAGGAGGCAGAGGAATATGTTCCAAACAAAACTGCCGCAGGTTGTATAGTACTGTGGCAGGGCACATGGCAGCTGAACACTTAGGCACATGTCACCCGGCTGCGCCGCTGGGGAGTAGGAAGTAGTGCAGGTGCCTCCCTAATTGGGCTGAGATAAGACCCTGAAAACTGAAAAAGCCTTCCTCTGCCTGCTAGGTAGCAAAGTCTGATGCTGCTGGGCCCAACAGGCGCGTGGGCTGGCAGTGTGCAGGGAAGTGCCTTGGAGCTGAGCCCCAGTGAGGGTGATTGAGCTTTTGGGACTTCTGCAAATGCCTGACCTACTGGGCCAAGGGAGTGCTGGAGAGATGTGTCCACCTGCCCTTCCTCCTGTGGAAAGAGCTTGCCCAAATTTCACCCCTTTGGAACCCTTCCTGCTGCTGATAAATCTTTCAAACTGCTGCCTCTGCTCTGGGTCTCAGTGGGACCAGTGGAGCATGCCTGTCCTCGACAAGCAACAGGAGTCTCAGCCTCCCGTAGTGCTCCAACTTTCCCTGATGTCCACCCCCACTAATTGCCAAAACCAGTGCAGTGTGGACTCCTGTTCCCAGAGCAGATCTCCAGGATGAGGTGTGCAGTTTCTGAGCACCTGTCCCCTCCCTGCTCTCTTCCTCTTTCTTTTGCCTGTGGGCTGAGATGGGAGAAGAGCTTGGGTCCTGCTCGATTGTGGCTCTGCCACTTTATCCTTTTCTTTGCAGTCTTCTCTTCTTCACCAGGTGTAGGTGGTCTGTTCTGCAGTCTTCAGGTCATTTTCAGGGTTAGTTTTATTTGCTGTAGTTGCTTCCTTGGTGTGTGTGTGTTGAAGGAGGTTTCTGCCTTGCCTTCCTATGCCCCCATCTTTTTTCCCCAAACTCCCTTTTTCTTTTATCTTCTCATTAAACTTTGAAATTTCTATTCTTTTCTAACCTGTCTAGACCTCTGTCTCTTTTTCAGAAATCAAGGGCCTGATCTTTTTCTGGCCTCTGTTCTTTCTTGCCCTTTGTGTTTTCTCTTAGCTTGACTTTAGGAGCCTTAAAACTCTAAATGCTAAATTGTTAGCTGTACACCTTCCTCCAGAATGACCAGAATCTCAGCTCCATCCACAAGCCATCTGGAGTTCTTCAGGGCCATCTGACCTGTTCTGCTGTGTTCTCATGTTCTTGGCACCAGAATCAGTGTGAGAGGAGCTCATGGACTCCTGGGTCTTCTGTGCCTCTGGCCTTATATTTCAGGACATGGGAGAACAAAAGAAGCTCTGAGTTACTTTCGTTTCTGCTGTAATTTCCCTTTCCTCTCCTCTCAGGGACTCTATTTAGGAACTTGAGGTAAAAGGTGTGTCGTGTGTCTTTATTTTTCTAAATCTCATCCAGTGCCATTTCCCTACTTGCCAAGATGAGTAACAATGCTGATACTAGTTTTTGTGGCTTTCCTATGGTACTGGGACCTTGGGGCTAATTCTGCCTTCAGGAAAAACAGTGAGGAGCAACACTATGCCAATGTGTCTGTGCCTGGAGGCAGGGCAGCGCCTGTGCTCTGCACACTGCTCAGCTGCAGGGGTCTGAGCTGGGCTGCCCGACCCAGGCTCTGTGCAGCAGAAGCTAGCAGGCATCCCCTAGCGTCTGTAGGTGGGCAGGTCTGGAGTAACTGCGTTCTTCAGGCCACTGTGGATTCACAGCCAGAGAATCTTTGTCTCATATCTGTCCAGTGTGTGTTTCAGGACTTGAGAGAAAGAAATGGCTTGATGCCTAGGGGACATCAGATAGGCTTTGTATTCTGTGATCCCCCTGGGCAAAGGGAGACTGATGTAGCTAGATTGGCTCAATAGCTAGATAGGTGTAAGTTCTTCAGAGGGAGTGGGTGAGGGATAGAGGAGCATCCCCTAAGCCTGCAGGGGGACCACTGCCCTTGCACTGGCGCAGGCCTCCAGGCGGGGCCCCATGGCCACTGAGCACTGGGCACCTGGCCCTGTCTCTCCCTCCTCAGGGAGCTCTGCTAACCAGGCCCTCATCAGTCTTCTAGGCTTGGCTCATTCCCACCACCATTAAAATATGCTCACATCTTTCTGGTCTTAAATTCAAAAAGATCTTCCCTGAGACCACGTCCCCTCCAGACATCACTCCTCCCCTTCACTCCATCCATCCCTCCTCCTTGGCAATGCAACCTGATTTCTCGCCCACCTTTCCCTGCAGCTCCCCTTGTCCAAATCCCAAGTGATGTGCTCCTCCACTAGTCTCGGCAGTCCTCAGGACCTACCCTGACCTCTTGGTAGCATTCCTCCCCAAGGATGACTCCTTTTTCCACCTCTGCTTAGCTTCCATGACAGCCCATCTGTGGACTCTTGCTCACACCCCCTTGTCTCCATGCAGTGTGCGTCCTCTTCCCTGTACTGTTGCTTCAGTGTGGGCACCTTGGGGCTCTTCCTGGTCATTCTTTTCCAGCCAGTCCACTCTTCTGCGGGGGGCTCCTCTGCCACCATGGATTCATCACTGGACCCAAGTCTGGCCCAGATCTTCTCCAGTGCTCTCACCCTATACGGGTCAAGTCTAGCATTTTTTGTTTACCCCACTTACAAGCTAGCTAGTCAGCCTGTTGTTCTTCCATCTTCCATGGATGTTGGCAGAAGACATGAGACTCTTGGGTCAGCAACAAGGACTTCATTTAAATGTGGTTTAAAGTTTCTCAGAGAGGCACAAGGCAGGTGATTATGTTGCTGACACAGCACAGTGTAATTCTGATTTTCTCTTCAGGTACCTCTGTTCTCAAAGTCTGGCAGCAGCTGTTCCCTAGAAAAGCATTATCCAAAAGGAGTATTACATATATAACTAAAAATTTCTAGTAACAACATTAAAAAAAGGTGAAAGAAAAACAGGTAAAATTAATGTCAGCAATGTTTTATTTAACCCGATATGTCTAAAATATTATTTCAACATGTAATCAATTTTAAAGTTATTAATGAGATGTTTTACATTTTTTTCATGCTAAGTTTTTGAAATCCATGTGTATTGTACACTTGCAGCCCATTTCAATTCAGACTCGCCACGTTTCAGATGTGCAAGAGCCCAATGCAGGTGGTGGCTGCTGCACTGCCTGGCAGGCTGGAGTGGCCCCCTCCCCCAGAACAGGCCAGCATGCAGGGGCTTTCAGGACTGTCCCCTCCTCTCTTTCCTAGCTTCTCCCTTCAAGTCAGTTAATGCAGGCTTTATTCTTGTCCTTTGGTTCTGGGTTCTCCCCTGTGCATAACACAAGCTTCCAAGGTAATGGAGGAGATGATCTGTGAATGTTGATTATCTGTGAATCGTATTTGTATCCCTACCTCATTAACTACTTATTCTAATGTACAGTAGCCAGTCTGACATTAGCCAGTTTCACGGATGAGACACCTGTAGGGACTGTTTGAGAGAGTCTAGTCTTATGAAATGTATTTAGCTTCCAGTAATACTGTCATGTTCAGATGCTGTCTGGATGAGAGAATGGGCATGGGACACCGTGTGGAAGCCTGAGACTGAGGGGCAAGGCAGGTGTGCAGCAGAGCTGGGGAAAGGTGCTACATGGTTGTAGCTCTTAATTGTTAGTAAGAGGTTACATCCTGCCTTCCACATTTATTGAAAGGTTTTTCTCATGAGCTGATACTTATTCTGCAACCTCTTTGAGTGAAGAATTGAAATATTCTCATTTAAAATGTTTTCTCAGTAAAATAGAGAGTAAATATAACACCACTAATATTATCCAGACTGGTAAAGGAATTAAAATATTCTAGTTAAGTGAAATTTAATTAACATTCAAATATTACAACTTCAATTTCAATCATTATAGGTGAAAATATTTAATAGCCTTTTACAAATCCCCTGTCTGAGCATCCAGAGAGTACTGAATGTCATTTATACTTTTCTTAGTATTAGGTTATTAGAGGGAGGGGAAGGAACTATATTTATCAAGTGACTATTCTGCCAAGAGCTGTGCTCCATATTAAGAGAACTCAAACTGTTTGGCCCTTATAGTGTTTCCAGCCTAGTTCTAAGTATTTCAAGGAAGACACTATGTTTTACCTACCAGGTAGGCTTCTGTATTCAGAGATTAACCTGCCCAGTTTAACAAGTTGCAGAACTAGGATTTGAACCCTAGAGGCCATACTTCCAAGTACTCGCCCGTAATGTAAACTTCACCACAAACCTCTTGGGTAGACATTATCCTCCCCGTTTTCCAGATGTGGAAACCGAGGCTCAAAATGTTAATTAATGCAAAATCTGCTAGTAAGTGGCTAACATTTCTTTTTTTAACTCTCCCTTCTTCCTTTTTCTTTTCTAGAACTTTCTGATTTTTGTCCAGGCAGGGCTTGCATTTGTAAACACCTCTCTTCTCTGTCTGGTTCACTTGCTTGCTTTTTTCTTTCCCCAGGAAATATCTTTTATCCTCATGAGGCAGTATGTATTGCGTGACTTTGTTACCTATGCTACATCTGCTCTCAAATAACTTAGAGAAACATGCCTTTTCAGAGTTTATATTCTAAAACTATTGACTCCTTTTTTCCCTAGAGAGATTGGAACAATTATCAGGTCACTAGGATGCTGCCCTACTGAAGGAGAGCTACATGATCTGATTGCAGAGGTAAGTAGGCCTCAGAAAGTTTCACTAGGCAGACTCTGTGTGACTCCAGCTCCTGTAATTAAAAAACCTTCTTACCTGAAACCAAAAATGCCCCAAAACACTGAATGTGCTCAGAGAAAATATCAGAATAGCTGTGTGAATTAGCCAACCAACAGTATCTGCAAAAATTAATATCAGGTCTTGTAGAAATCGAGATGAGAATGTAACACAATGGAACGAGTAAAGACTCACCATAGTTACTACACTCTTTAAAGTTAGTTGAAGCAAGGTCAATAGACACAGGAGACTGACTCTATGTAGAAAGAATTTTGACAGATGAAAGGAATATAATAAATGTCAGTTCAACAGTATAGAAGCACAAGAGGAGACTGAAAGGAATTTTTATTTGGGAAAATAAAACTAACTTTCAGAACGAGTAGTAAATATAGCAAAATAACAAGAACTAACTTGACATTGACTAAACATTCTAAAAATTAAAAAAGATGAGTAGCCCAAGACCAGAGACTTTCATGCCCTATTTGGTTTTCCAGAAAAGTGTCTGGTCTAATTCAAGTGCAGCTTTCAGTTCAACAATACAGAGGCCTGAAGGGAAAGAAGCTACCTGGGCAAGCACCAGGAGAGGGATCTTCTCAGAATTGCTCATCTAGGATGTGGGTTTTGGTGGAAGTCAGGGATCAATAAAGAGAATATGGGCACAGGGCAAGGAAGGGGGGTCATTTATTTCCATGCTCCTTGGACCCAGCACAGTACTTGCTTGTTCATCACTGCACGGAAGAGAAGGAATTGTGACTGATGAGTGGCTTAAATGCCATATCAGTTGTCCATAATAATACCAACTTCAAAGTTTGCTTCAAAGATAAATAATTTATGAGAAGACATGTTTTGAATCCTGAAGTGCTATATAGAGTTAAGGAGTGGAACATTAGGAACTTCATTGCCTGCATATTACCACCTTGGTAACTGATTTTTCTTCTTTTTTCTCAAAGTATAGGTGATATTAGTTTCAGGTGTGCAACAGTGATTGGACATTTATATATATTACAAAATGCTCACCACAAGTGTAGTTACTGTCTGTAAAGTTATTACAATATTATTGATTATATTCCTCATGCTGTACCTTTGATCTCCATGACTTATCTATTTTATAAATGGAAGCCTATACTTCCTAATCCCCTGACCTATTTTACCCATCCCCCACAACCCACTCCCTTCTGGCAATCACCAGTTTGTCTCCATGTATGAGTTCATTTCAGCATGTTTGTTTTGTTATTTAGATTCCACATATATGTGAAATCATATGGTATTTGTCTTTCTCTATCTGACTTACTCATTTAGCATAATACCTATAGGTCTATCCATGTTGTCAGTGGCAAGATTATGTTCTTTTTTTATGAGTGAGTAATACTCCATTGTGCATATGTCCCACATCTTCCTTATCCATTCATCTACTGATGGACACTTTGGTTGCTTCCAGCCTAGCTGCTGTACATAAAGCTGCAATAAAAACAGGAATGCATGTATCTTTTTGAATTTTGTTTTCTTGGGTAAATACTCAGAAGTGGAATTACTGGGTTGTATGGTATTTCAATTTTAATTTTTTTGAAGAACCTGTTTCCTGTAGTGTTCCTATACTGTTTTCCATAGTGGCTGCACCATTTTATATTCCTACCAACAGTGCATGAAGGTTCCCTTTTCTCCACATCCTCACCAACACTTGTTATTTCTTTTTGATAGTGGCCATTCTGACTGAAGTAAAGCAGTATCAATTTTTCATAAGCATTTAAAAATAGTCAATAAAGTAGGAAATATTTACATTGTTTTTCCATTTGGTGATCTAATAAAGATATTTTTATTCAAAGTAAGGGGAAAAATCCTTGTTTTTCCTAATGTGGCCCTCAAATTAAAAAGAAAAGTATTGATCTCTGCCTTAAAATGTTTATCAACAAAGCTAGAATTGGTGTGAGGAAAATGAAAGTTGACATTATGGAAGAGATGGGAACTGGAAGGTGAATTTACAGTGAAATCATAATTACTGCATATAATTCAGTAGAGTAAGTGGAGCAATAATGAAAAGTGCCTCAGGAAAATCAGAAAAGAAGAAGCTTTAGAGCCTGATTCTCTTACAGTTTGTTTGTTTTAATCTGTAGTAGGGGTCAGCAACTCCTGGGCCAGATCCAGCCCATCGTCTGTTTTTTTTTTATTAAAGTATCATTGATAAACAATCTTACAAAGGTTTCACATGAGCAACATTGATGGGACATATAGGTTGCTTCCATATCTTGGCTATTGTACATAATGCAGCAAAAAACATAGGGGTGCATATATCTTTTCACATCAGGGATATTGTTTTCTTAGGATAAATTCTTAGGAGTGGAATTACTGGGTCAAACGGTATTTCTATTTTTACTTTTTTGAGGAACCTTCATACTGCTTTCCACAATGGTTGAACCATTTTACATTCCCACCAGCAGTGTAGGAGGGTTCCCCTTTCTCTACATCCTCACCAGCACTTGCTGTTTCTGTCTTTTGGAAAGTGGCCATCCTAACTGGTGTGAGGTGGTATCTCATTGTGGTTTTAATTCGCATTTCCCTGATGATTAGCGATGTGGAGCATCTTTTCATGTGTCTTTTGGCCATTCGAATTTCTTTCTTTTTTTTTT